GTACAGATTCTTTTTTGTTTTTGTTTTTGAGAGTGAGTCTTGGTCTGTGAACCATGCTGGAGTGCAGTGGTGTGATCTTGGCTTACTACAACTTCTGCCTCCTGGGTTCAAGCGATTATCCTGCCTCAGCCTCTTGAGTAGCTGAGATTACAGGCATGTATCACTGGATTCAGCTAATTATTTTGTATTTTTAGTAGACACGTGGTTTTGCCCTGTTGACCGGGTTAGTCTGAAACTCCTGACCTCAGGGGATCCGTCCCCCTAAGCCTCTCAAAGTGCTAGGATTACAGGCATGAGCCACCGTGCCTAGCACAAGTACAGATCCTTGATATAATTCCCTTACCTCTGTTGACTTGTGAAACTGAACAAACAGCTTATCTGTACTCAATGTGCGCTGGTGGGACAGTTACAGAATAACGATGCTAGTGATTCTTGTTCAAAAAGAGGGAAAGTGGAGGGAACAAAGTCACTGATCCAAAACCATTTTGACATGGGGTCCAGCAAATTCCAGTAGGAATTTCTTGATTAGGCTCCTCAGCCTGAAACTAACCCTCTGTGACAGGGGCCTTTGCCTCCAGGCTCTGCATTTTTTCTATTGTTACTGAAAACATTTTATTTTTCTTCTTTCCCCACTCTTTTGGTTCTTCCCCTTTCTCCTCATGACAGCATCCTCCACTTAATCCTTTTTGCATCATCCCCAGCAGAATTGTTCAGATATTGCCCATATCACGGTCCTGACCATCTCCACGAGGGGCTGTCCTTGTGAGCCCATGCTCCTCTTCACTGTCCTGACCTCTCGCAGTCATGATTGCTTTCAACTGCCCTGGCTGGCTTAGGAGAAAACCTAAGACTGTAGAGTCCCAGAACAAATCTCTGCCCTCTCTATCTCCAGGAGAGGAAGAAAATAACAGGGATCTTCATGGAGAAATGACCCAGGTGAGGGCCTGGACTCTCCAGCAGTTAGAGCAGAAGAAAGTTTTTGAAGAAGAATGGAGGAGCTGAGAGCCCAGGCCAGGAAAGCAGGGTTGTGTGAAACGCTATTTAATCCTATTTACTCCCTGCCCCAATCTAGTAGCTAGTGAACGACAGCTGACCAAGTATAAATGCCAGGACTGTGATAAAGAGTTTGTCCAAAGAAAGGGGCTTTTACTCTTTTTGTTATCACAATGGAAATTGCTGTTTTTCATCTAAAGTTTCTGAAAGGCAGCAGTGAGCTTCTGGAGGGTGAGTTACCTGCTCTGCACAGGGAGGCTGAGGCCAAGGCTTGTGTGTGGGATCTGCTGTCACCAAGTGGTGAGGGAGGGAGCCTAGGAGAGTCTCAGTCTTTCTGGGCTTCAGGTTCCTCATCAGTAAGGTAGGGGCTTATTATACCTCTCTGAGGTCACTTCCTGCTCTGTTTTCTCTGTGTCTCTGAGGAATTGAGATGGTTTTCAGTGCTGCCTGGGACCTTCAGCTGAGACCTGACTCTGTGTGTCTCCTGCAGGAGCCTGAGCTGAGTCTACAAGCTGGAATCCCAGAGCTGAGGGAACAGGTAGAAGAAAGAAAGTCGGCAGGTTTAGGGGATGAGAATAATCCACAAAGGACAATGCATTGGTAAATGAATACCAAAGAAGGGGAGAATAAGGAAAAACTGTGACAGAAGCCTGAGGGGAAATGGGCAATGCCTATGATCATTTAAATTCTCAAGGAGCAGCATGAGCTCAGCAGTGGGGACTGGGAAACTTACTCCACAGGAATCTCCTGCCTCTGGTCAGAGAGAGCCATAGGGTAGATCAGAGCTGGTTTATAGTGAGAAGCAGCTTCAACTCCAGGAGGGGGAGGATGTGACCGTGAGCCCCCACCCCAGACCCAGGAGCCTCAACCTTGGGGCTGCCATAGCAGTGGATGCTCTTCAGGTCAGTGTGGGTTAGAGGGAATAACCGTGCTTGGAGAAAGGTTGGAGATGTCCATTCTTACATCGAACAGCTCTGCCCTAGGTCAGGTACCAGAGTAAGTGTCCCTTGCTTACATATAAAGCAGTGATACTTATACTATTCTTCTGCACCTTCAGTTGAGGGAAGTTTCTCATAAACATTTATTATTTAATTTTCTTTATACTGTGCTAAGCACTTGGGATTCAGGTATTTAATGTCTCTAAAAAAACCTCAAGCTAGTGAGTGGAAGAACACAAGCAGATCACTTCAACAAGATACGGTAGTTCTACCCACCTGAGGTATTGTGGCAGCCTGGGGGATGGGAGGGTATGTCAGAGGACATTGCTCCTAATGACAGGGGGAAGCATAAGAGAACATTTTCAGATTGGCTGGGTGCAGTGTGTTCATGCCTATAATCTGAGCTCTTGGTGAGGCTGAGGTGGGTGGATCACAGGGTCAAGTGATCGAGACTATCCTGGTCAACGTGGTGAAACCCCATCTCTACTGAAAATACAAAAAAATTAGCTGGGCATGGTGGTGCACTCCTGTAGTCCCAGCTACTCAGGAGGCCAAGGCAGGAGAATTGCCTGAACCCAGGAGGCAGGGGTTGCAGCGAGCCGAGATCACGCAATTGCACTCAAGCCTGGGTAACTAGAGTGAAATTCCACCTCAAAAAAAAAAAAATTCAGAACAGACTAGTCTTCCTTCAAGCTCCCACAAGAGAGGATCCTGGGGAAGGGATGGTGTAGGACAGGAGCCTCTCTAGGGAAGGGGATTTGCAGCATTCTGAGAGAAAGGCATCCTTACAAGACATTGGGGACAGAAATGTAGGTGAAAAGGTTGGAGGCTTCTTAACAATTTTATTCAGTCATGGATGAACACTGCTGAGAGGCCCCTCTGTGCTGGGCCCTTAGCTAAGAACCATGACCACCGAGGTGAGTAAAATAGGATCCCAGCTTTCACACAATTCTCAGTCTAGTGACTGGTGGTTCATGAGAAGTGTAGTGATGGTGGGTTCATTGGAACCAGTGGCCGATGCCACATGGGATGACCTCAGTGGATGGCCTGGGCCAGTGACCCTGGACTTCAGCCATATTTCAGCATCTCAAGGTACAGTACACCCATGCCTCTGCTCTATGTTGAATCAAAGCAGTTAACACAGCCAAGGTATTCAGAGGACACTGGTGATATCAGTAGCTATTGACTGTTTCCAGCTGGGGAAATAAAGAAGTAAATTTAATAACTCTTCTAAATTTGTGCTTGCCATGACAAATAATTTTATCTTGATAATGAATTATATCCTGGCAAATTAATTATAATTTGCCATAATGAGAAATAACTTTATGCTGAGTACAGCCAACACACAAGCCCTTGAGGACACATGCCTGAGGATTCTGATGAAGATATGATGTCCAAATATGTACACATTTGGACCTACAGTCCAGCTTTAAAACAGTGGAAGACCCAGTTTCAAATTCAAGATTGCTTTGAGTAGAAATTCACTTTACCTCTCTTTGCATGGCAATGGGGCCAATCTTCCCTGAGCTGCCCCTTACAAGAAAAGGAATCATACTGGTAAGAATTCAGACTTCAGCAGGCATGGGTAAGTAAGGAAGTCTTACAAATCTCTTCTAGCCACCTAGCAAGAAACCAGAAAAATAGCAAGTTCATTCACATTCAGGACAGTTGTGTGCACTAGATCACAGACCTTGAAACATGAAGAACAGACCCCCTAACAAGGGAAAATACTTCTTCCTGTCCTAGGACATCACTGCCAACTTCAGGGAAGTGGAAACACAGCTGCCCACTTTACAGTATGGGTTACTTTTGTGCCTGGAATGTGTCTGACATCCTGAGACCTGTACCCGTTTCAGGGAGCCTTGGGAGGAGCCTGAATCATGGATGGAATTGGACAGTACATGGAGATGGTTGAGCAGGATGAGGGTAAGTGCAGGGGCATGGCCAGGTCATACTGGGAGACAGTGAGTGGCATTGATGGGGACAGACAAAGAAAAAGTCAACAGTTTCTGCTTCAGCATCAGAAACTCAAACCAATAACGAATTTGCTTTTGTAAGTAGTAAGTATTTTTCTATTTACATGAGAATTTAATCTCCAAAGAGAAATCATAAAAATAGTAAGTCCAGGGCATAAAACCTAAACCATAGCTTGTATTTATTCTTTCTAAATGGAGCTATCAGTAAAATCTTCTTCATAAAACATATATTGTGGTTACAAAAAGGCAAAAGTCGGCCAGGTGTGGCAGCTCATGCCTGAAGTCCCAGCATTTTGGGAGACCGAGGCGGGTGGATCATGACGTCAGGTTATCAAGACGTTGGTTAAGATAACCAACATGCTGAAACCCTGTCTCTGCTAAAAACACAAAACATAGCAGGGCTTGCTGGCATGTGCCTGTAGTCCCAGCTACTTGGGAGACGGAGGCAGGAGAATCGCCTGAATGTGGGAGGCAGAGGTTGCAGTGAACCGTGACTGTACCACTGCATTTCAGCCTGGTGACAGAGCAAGACTCTGTCAAAAAAAAAAAAAAAAGAAAGAAAGAAAAATAGCAAAAGTCTTAGAAAAAATCACTGGTGTTCCTTAGAAGAGAATTCAATATAGTCAAGGGAAGACCAAGTCTCATACTTCTCTTGTATATTCCAAAGTTCCAGGGAAATTCCAGGTAATAGAGGTTATTTCCCGTGCTGTTAAAGCAAGGTTGCAGACACTTCTGAATTTTGGGCCCAGTACTCTAGGAGGGAACAGCTCTGTCCTGGAAAATAATACAGGAATGGATGCTGTTCCTGTGACTCATTGTGGTCATTCATCCAGCATCACAGAAACCAAAAATGGAAATATGACCAAATTCATGATTTGCTAGCCCCCTTTTTCAGGTTTCTTACCTGATTCTTAGGATAACAGCATTACCTTTGAAGATTATGATGAAGATACGCTGTCCAAATATGTGCACAGTTTTGAGCAAAATGCCTGGTACAAATTGGTCAAAAAACAATTACTGAATGATTATATGAATATTTACTGAATGACATGGATTCTATGAATAATTATGGAATAATTATTGTAATTGCTTTTATTAGCAGTTCTCAAAACTCATCTATATGTGACCTCAAGTAAGCCACATAACTTTGTGAACCTGCAGTTTCATCATTTTTAAAATGAAGAAACCTGACAGCTTTTCATTCTGCCACAGGTCAGGCTTCCCAGATACCAGAACATACATTTACTTAAAGCCTTTGATATATCTCAAAGCAGTATCCTTACAGTGTAGTTGGAGGATGGTGGGGGCTGCAGAGAGGCACGCTTTCCAGTGGGATTGATCCAGTTCTCCTTCCTTCAGTGCCACATGAATGCTGGACAGCCCAGGGTCACACCCATTGCACCCTCAACTCAGGCACACCCAGCAGCCAAACATAGGAGACCTGGGATACAGAACAGTCTCCCAAATCCCAGGCCCACAAAACCTAGGTGGATATGATGGCTGAGAAAGTGAGGAGGTGGTTCAGGGGATCACTCTTCCCTACTCGTTCCTCTCATCTCAAATTCACCTTCTATTGCACAGCAACACGGAGGACCACCAACCACCCCTGACCATCACCTTGATCTTGGTGTGTTTGGTTAGTGGGATGCAACCACAAATCAATGGTGTTAGACCAACTCAGAAAAATATCTATCAAACAGTATTCCATAAGGACCACTCATGGCCTTGTTATTTTCAACACATGGAAAAAAACAAAATGAAAACAACAAAATCATATCAGGTTTACAAGACTTCCCAAGAGAGATGGTCACATGTGCTTTCAGGAGATTTCTATAGAAATGATGTTGATGACCTGATACCTTGAAAAGAGCTCTTCTGGGACTAGAATGACATCCATAAGTGACAAGAATGAGATGTAGTGTGCAGTCACATTAAAAAACAAATCACTCCACATAGAGGAAGCTTTGGACGTAGGTACATCACACTGGTCTTAAGTATAATGAAAAGCCTCTTTTGCCACAAACATCAGTGCAGTGGTATCTGCCAGTAAGAAAAACTAAATCAGCATAACCATGGGATGCAGCCAGAAGAATATTGAGCCAGGAAAGAAAACATTTTTAAGAAATGAATTACTCATTGACTTTCTAGTGGATACAGAAAAAACTGCAGAAGACTCAGAGGATATGATGGCAGTGTAACAGATTGATATCTTAAGCTTGTGGAAAAGCCTTCAATTCTGTTTTAACATATGAGAAGGAGAGGTGACTGACTTCATGACTAGCATTAAGAAAGTATCACGTGTTGGGAAACTGTTTCTGCCTTGATGGTTTTATACACATAAGAGCTGAAAAATGAGGCACATGCTTAGATGTATTGGGAATGAGATGGGACAGTGGCATTGTCACAACGGTACACAAATACTGAGAGTGACTTATAGAGTAATGGTCCCCATCTGTTGTGACCTCAAGTGAGACCAGGAGGCCTGTGTTTTAGCAAACCCTGGGCAATGGAATGAAGGGCTCCTAAGATTCCATGACACACACAGCTTCTAATTCTGTTATTGCAACAGCAGACCGTTACCTGGGGCACTGGCCACTATCTCCCATACCCTTGTAAGAGTCTGAGCTGCAGACAGCACCTTCAGTTCTCAGCTCAAGCATTGTGAACCTTGTTTTTGCTGTTAAGGACCCTAAAGTGCTGTGAGGAGGAATCAGATTTTTTTCAACAGTAAGTTAAAAATTTTAGTTACTGATATCCTCTAGTCCTGATTAAAACTATTTGATTTCCAGTTTTTAACCCATGATGTGTTTGGGTTTCTTCTCCCCAGTCCCTGGCTCTCCCTGTGGTGCCCCAAATGTCAGCATGGTGGCACCTGGCAGGACGTGTTCCAGGAAGACCACAGAGGAGAACTTTCCAGATACCATCGAGAATTCCTACTCCCAGCAGGAGGAGACCAAACTGAATATCAGAGCCAGCAAAAACAGACTTCTTATGAGCCAGGTGGCCTACTTCCTGAACTACCAGCTGAAGACATACAGTAAGTTCCATAGGTTGACCACCATGAAAGTGATGAATGATGTCCTGTCTTGTCTCAAGAAACTAACCATTCTCTTCATCAAAATTAGTTTCATCCTTCCCATACTTGTAGAAAATAGCAATGGGCATTTTAACATTTAGTTAAAGATGGAAGACAGTGGCGAAAGTATTTAGCAACTTTTCCACGCCTTCAGTAAGGTGGGTGTGGGACTGGGGTTACAATCCCAGCTATTGATTTCTGACACAGGCACAGAACCACCTGTTTTTCTCAGCAAAAGGCTAAATCATATTTATAGGAATCCTCTCTGTACCACCTAAGATCCTGCAGACAAGTAGCATCTAGACTGTTCGTCTAAATGTCTGATGCTACTGAACTTCCATTCAGTTCTGGTTTCTGCTAAGGCCCAGTAGTCAAAGCTGTGCTCTGGGGACACAGGGGGAAACACAGTGATAGCACACAGAACCTGCTGTTAGGAGATTCAAGGGGACCGTGCTCCCAATAGAACCTGTGGTATCTGTAAGTGGCACCATCAAGAGCGAGGATTACTCTGGTACTGGTGCCTCAACTCCCCAATTAGCTGGCATCCCCGGTGGGTACCACCACACCTGGCTAATTTTTGTATATTTAGTAGAGGTTGGGTTTCACCATGTTGGCCAGGCTGGTCTTGACTCCTGAGGTCAAGTGATCTGCCTGCTTGAGCATCCTAAAGTGCTGGGATTCCAGGCATCAGCCACCATACCTGCTCCACAGATTCTTTCTTCAGTAAAGGTTGTTAGAATTCATCTCTTGGTCCAGGCTCCTATATAAATTTCTCTAACAATTCATTGGCAATGATATATGATTAGATAAATCAGTATTGCAGCAACCCTTCTGGACAGAAGGGCAATTTTTGAGGATTTGGGGAAAAAGTTTTAATTTTTTGCACTGACTTAGGTCAGAGGATGTGATTAAGATCTACTGGATGAGGGAGATTTTGTCCCATGATTCTGAAAAGCAGGCTCATATACTTCTAGGGCGACTTAATCTAGGGACCATTAGAGCATTCCTGTCAGAATACCACATTCTTACACTGAGAATATTTTAAGTTCTTGTGCTATGATCGAACACTGATTTGCTCTTGTGTGAAGTGTGATTTGCTTAATGTGACCTGCTCTTCTGAATTTGTTTATAGAAGATCGAAAAGATCATGATGAAGAACAGAAATGCAGAGACAACAAAAATAAACTTCTTATGAGTCAAGTGGCCTACTACCTGGGCTGCCAGCTGAAGACGGAAGGTAAGTTCTATTGATTCCCTGTCACGAAAGTGCTGAACAATGTCCTTTCTTCTTTCTGAGGAATGATACACTCTCTTCTTCAAAGTTAATTTCATCCTTCCCATACTTCTAGGAATATAGCAATGGGTATTTTAGCATTTTGTTAAAGATGGAAGACAGAGGCTAATGTGTTTAGCAACTTTTGCACGTCTGCAGTAAGGCGGGTGTGGGACTAGTGTTAATATCCCAGCAAATGATCCTGACACAAGCACAGAACCACCTGTATTTCTGAGCAAGAGGCTAAATCATGTTTACAGGAATCCTCCATACCATATAAGATCCTGCAGAACTTATAAGCAAGATAGAGGTAGAAGTGTTTATTTCCAGATTTCGAAGTGACTGAATAGCTAAGACAAGTTGACTTTAAGGACATCAAGAGAGGAGGTAAGAAGAGTAAAAGCAGGGAAACAACATCTTCAAATCATAGGCGAGGCTGCCAGTGATATTGCTTAGTCCCGATTAAACGAATTTGACGTCACCATTTTCTAACCCATCTTGTGTTTGGGTTTCTTCTCCCCAGTCCCTGGCTATCTGTGTTCTGCCCCAAACGTCAGCATGGTGGCATCTGGCAGGCCTCCTTCCAGAAAAAACACAGAGATGAACGTTCCAGAAGGCATTGAGAAATCCTGCTCCCAGCAGGAAGAAAACAAACCAAATTACAGAGCCAGCAAAAATAGACTTCTTATGAGTCAGGTGGCCTACTTCCTGAACTACTGGCTGAAGACATACAGTAAGTTCTATAGGTTGACCACCATGAAAGTGATGCATGATGTCCTGTATTGTCTTGAGAAACTAACCTCTTTCTTCATCAAAATTAATTTCATCCTTCCCATACTTGCAATGGGTATTTTAAGATTTTGTTAAAGATGGAAGACAGAGGCCAAAGTGGTTAGCAAGTTTTCCATGTCTGCAGTAAGGTGGGTGTGGGGCTGGGTTTAGATTCCCAGCTATTGATTTCTGACACGGGCACAGAACCACCTGTTTTTCTCAGGAAGTGGCTAAATCATGTTTACAGGAATCCTCTCTGTACCATATAAGATCATACAGACAAGTAGCATCTAGTCTGTTGGTCTAAATGTATGAGGCTACCAAACTTCCATTCAGTTCTGGTTTCTGCTGAAGCCCAGTAGGCAAAACTGTGTTCTGGGGACACTGGGGGAAACACGGTGATAGCACACAGTACCAGCTGTCGGGAACTTAAAGGGGACCCTGCTCCTAATAGAACCTGTGCAATCTGTAAGTGGCTCCATCAAGAGCAGGGAGTACCCTGGTACTGGTGCCTCAGCCTCCCAATCAGCTGGGGTCCCCGGTGGGCACCACCACATTTGACTAACTTATGTATTTTCAGTAGAGGCAGGATTTCACCCTGTTGGCCAGGCTGGTCTTGAACTCCTGAGGTCAAGGGATCTGCCCTCCTGGGCCTCCTAAAGTGCTGGGATTCCAGGCGTGAGCCACCATGCCAGCTCCACAGATTCTTTCTTCAGTAAAGGTTGTTAGAATTCATCCCTTGGTCCAGTCTCCTATATAAATTTCTCTAACCATTCATTGACCATGACGTATGATGAGATAAATCAATATTACAGCAATACTTCTGGAAAGTAGGGAAATTTTTGGAAGATTTTGGGGAAAATCTTTTAATTTTTTGTGCGGACTTAGTTCAGAGGATATGATCAAGATCTACCAGATGAGGGAGACTTTGTTCTATGGATCTGAAAAGCAGGTTAATGTACTTCTAGGACAACTTAGTCTAGGGCCTGTTAGAACAATCCTGTCAGAATACCACATTCTTACACTGAGAATATTTTAAGTTTCTGTGCTATGAGTGGACACTGATTTGGTCTGTGTGAAGTGCGATTTGCTTAATGTGACCTGCTCTTGAATTTGTTTACAGAAGATCGAAAAGATCATGATGAAGAACAGAAATGCAGAGACAGCAAAAATAAATTTCTTATAAGTCAAGTGGCCTACTACCTGGGCTGCCGGCTGAAGATGGAAGGTAAGTTCTATAGGATCAGTGTCACGAAAGTGCTGAACAACGTCCTGTCTTGTCTCTAAGAAATGATACACTCTCTTCTTCAAAGTTAATTTCATCCTTCCCATACTTCTAGGAAAATAGCAATGGGTATTTTAGCATTTTGTTAAAGATGGAAGACAGAGGCCAAATATTTAGCAACTTTTCCACGTCTACAGTAATGCGGGGTGTGGGACTACTGTTAATATCCCTACTACAGCCAGTGCTTGACTTATGACCACGATTGTTTCAGACAGACTGGTCGTAACATGATTTGGTCGTAAGTTGAGTAGGCTATATGCAGGCAGAGATGGTAGTGCTGCCGGAAGCTGGTCTGCACTGTCGTACGCCCAGCTGGGAAACGTTTGTGCTGCCAGACATGGAGCAGTCATGGCTAGTGATTGTGGTCATAAAGTCGAATGGTCGTAAGTTGCATAGGTCATAAGTCGATCAATACCTGTATTGATTCCTGACACAGGCACAGAACCACCTGTTTTTCTCAGCAAAAGGATAAATCATGTTTACAGGAACCCTCCATACCATCTAAGATCCTGCAAAACGTATAAGCAAGATAAAGGTAGAAGTGTTTATTTCCTAGTTTCAAGGTGACTGAGTAGCTAAGACAAGTTGACTTTAAGGAGATTGAGAGTGTAGATGAGAAGAGTAAAAGCAGGGAAACAACATCTTCAAATCAACAGGCAGGGCTGTCAGTGACATCCCTCAGTCCCGATTAAACCAATTTGACGTCACAGGTTTCTAACTCATCATATGTTTGGGTTTCTTCTCCCCAGTCCCTGGCTTTTTGTGTTCTGCCCCAAACGTCAGCATGGTGGCATCTGACAGGCCTCCTTCCAGAAAAGACACAGAGGTGAACATTCCAGAAGGCATTGAGAAATCCTGCTCCCAACAGGAAGAAAACGAACCGAATTTCAGAGCCAGCAAAAGTAGACTTCTTATGAGTCAGGCAGTCTACTTCCTGAACTGCCGGCTAAAGACATACAGTAAGTTCTATAGGTTGACCACCATGAAATTGATGAATGATGTCCTGTGTTGTCTTGAGAAACTAACCTCTTTCTTCATCAAAATTAATTTCATCCTTCCCATACTTGTAGAAAATAGAAATGATATTTTAACATTTTGTTAAAGATGGAAGACAGAGGCCAAAGTACCTAGCAACATTTCCACATCT